CAACCTTTGTCTTAATTAGATTCAAGTTACATTGTATCTCAATTAAATTTTCTATAAATGAATTTCTTGATTTTTTAAAAAAAAAAATTAAAAAAAAAAATTTTTTTAATAAAAAAAAAAAAAAAAAACAAATCATTACTAAGAATAATTATGACAATAACAACAATAATAACAATAATAAATCATACCGATCCAGTTATCGAAGAAGAAGAAGAAGAATCAAATTCGGTTTCTTTTAACGCAAGTTTTGCTTTAACTTGTGACATTTGTTTTTTTGTTGGTATGAAGTTTGTCATTTTAGCCAATTCTTTTTCTTCGGCTTCAGAAGCTTTATCTTGGGCTGATTTTGAATCAGTAAATTGTACTGGCGAGAGATATCGTTCTTCTATCATTTTAATAAAACAAGCTTTGTATTCTTTGTATTCTAATAAAAAGTATATTATATATATATATATTATATATTGAACATGTATTAATTAATCTAAAGTTTATAATTATTATAATATGATAACAGCTCACGATTTGTTCTTTTAGATAATTTCAATTCCTCAATAAAGCTTGAAAATGTTGTTTTTCCCATTAGCGATATTTGTTCAACAATTTTACGTGAACACTTTTTTTAAAAATTAAAAAATTAATGTAGACTTTTTTCATTCACTGCTGCACTAATCAAAACAACAAATCATCGAACGTGAACTTGTTATTAAGCAACATCTTGATTATTTGGTTGAAAATGAAATTAATTTATTAAAAAGGAAAGGTGACGATGACAGTGATGATGACAGTGGTAATAGTACGGGTATCGGTATTAGTGGTGGAATGTATTACATTCAATATCAAAAGGTCATGGAAACTATAAAACAAGAATTATTTGAAGATATTATTTCGAAAAAATATGATCATACGGGAACTAGAGTTGTTAGACTTTTACATATGAAAGATAAACTCGAAGAAAAAGCGGTTTGTAAACAAACAGGCCACACACACACATATATGTTAATTGTTCCCTCTCTGAGATATATATTTATTTTTTATGTGTATAAATAGATTGCGACTTTTACATTGATGACTGCATCAGATGTACGTCGCAAATTAACAGATTTGTTAAATGGTGGATTTGCTCAAATTCAAGTAATAATAATAATAATAATAATAATAATAATAATAATAATATAATAATAATAATAATAATAAATTGATAATTGTTTTATATAACAAAAAAAATTCTTTACAGGAAGTCCCAAAATCTGCAGATCG